GCTGAGCTAAATCCCCAGCCCCAATCCTCCCGTTTCATAGGACTGTTCAACACATGCAAATGTACCCTTGGTGGGCTTCAACTAAGGGAGAGAAAAAATGAAAAGGGTAAGGGGCGTTAAAATGGAGACAGAATCACGTACAAGAATTTATAAATAACTTTACAAAGTTATTACATAAACATATACAATGTAAACCATGTAGAAATTATACACAGAAAAATCCAGAAGGAATTAGAATAAAACGTTAACAGCCTCTATTTCTAGATGCACTTATAAATTTTCTTTTTTTTTATATTGTCTGAGACAAGGTCTTACTATGCAGTTCAGGCTGGTCTTGAACTCACTTTGTAGCCCAGGCTGGCCTGGAACTCACAACGATCCTCCTGCCTCAGCCCCAACCTTAGCCTCCTGAGTGCTGGGATTACAGGCGTGTGCCCCCACACCTGATCCAAAATGATTCACACACTGAATTTTCTAAATTTTCAAATTTAAAAATCAGTTTTTATTTTAAAGAGAAAAAAGCCAAAAAACAAAATTTCAAAACAAGATGATAGGGTAACAATGGTTAATTGCATCTTATTATCTTCAAATTAGTTACTCAGAGTACAAGACATTGGCATTTAATTGTCCAGACAATATTAGCACAAACTCTTCTCCCCAGTGAACCAAGAGAAATTACTATAACTGTCCCAACTATCTTATATATATACGTTTTTTTTCTTTTTGCTTTTCCCTTCATTTTGTTCTCCTCCATTCCCCCATCCCAGTTTCTCTTTCCTTTTGAAATTTCTTCCCATTTGACAGTACCTATTATACATTTTGGATCTTATTTACTCTTTAGAAATCAGCTCTAAAAGAATAGGTTACAAGCTGAGCGTGGTGGGGCACGCCTGTAATCCCAGATTACCATGGGTTCAAGGCCAGCCTGAGCTACATAGTGAGTTCAAAGCCAGCGTGAACTATATAGTGAGACCCTGTCTCAAAGAAACCAAAATAAATAAAAGAAAAGAATAGGTTTCAAAGGGTACTGGTGGCTTAGTCCCATCATTTAAGCCTGGTATGTGTGAGGTACAGAGGGTGATGTTGGAATAGTGGAGGGCTTGGGTGGGGGATGTAGTGTGTGAAGATGTTAGCAGTAGTTGGATAGGATCATAACTGAGGATTTTCTTTTCTTTTCTTTTCTTTTGGTTTGGTTTTGTCTTGGAATATAGTTCAGACTGGCTTTGAACTCACTCTGTAGCCAAGGTTGGTCTCAAACTCACGGCGATCCACCTGCCTCTGCCTCCCGAGTGCTGGGGTTACGGGTGTGTGCCGCCACACCTCACTTTTTTTTTAATCTTTTAAAATAATTTTTGTTTGCCTCTATTTTCTGAATGAACTAATGTTATTTTTCGAAGGAGAGCAAAGCAAATTTATTTTGGTGGTGCTGGGGATCAACCACCTTGGGAAAACAAGGCATTGAAAAGCAGAGAGAATGGGGGCAAAGGGAAGAGAGAATAGAGAACCAGGGAGTACAAAAGCTGTCTAGAGTGAAATTTTCGGCACCAAAACTACGTTTCCTGCTATCAGTCTGGGCCCTGGCACCAGCCCTGAAATACTCATCAACTAGATGAAATATCAGATACCCTGGATTCTCAGCCTCCAAATCTTTTTTTTTTTAATTTAATTACTTTTAGGTAGAGTTTCACTGTGTTACCTAGACTGGTCTCAAATTCCTAGGCTCAAGCAATCCTCCTGCCTCAGCCTCCTGAGTAGCATATGCCACCACACCTGGCACGCAGCATTGCTCCATGGCTTGTCATCCCCACTGGCTGTGTCACTCTCCTCTGCAGTGTGTGTGTCTTCAGCCCCTGTCCAGACCCTGGGCTCACAGGTTCCCACCCAGCAATTCCTGCCCTGAATCCCTCCTGTCCATACACTCCACTTCCTCACTCTGTCATTCTGCCTGTCCCACGCTATCATCATCACTTTGTAATAATTTGAACTTCTATTTTTTGGGACAAGATATTGCTGTGTACTTCAGAGTGGCTTTGAACTCTCTATGTAGCCCAGGCTGGCCTTGAACTCACAGCGATCCCCCTGCCTCGGCTTCTTCATCTCCCTTTGTCTGGGCTGCCTCCGGCTCTTTAGCAAAGCCCATGCTGTTTCCAGGGGCATCTGCAGAGCTTGCGCCTGCTGCACCGGACAGCGGGTCTGCTGGAAGAAGTAACACAGCTGTTTTGAAGTCTCTGTGCTGACACACACTCTCGATGGGCTCGTGACACTGAGCAGTCTGACCACGTTTCCTCGCTGTTCATTTTCTCTCTTTAAAGAAGACAGCAACATCCCTTTCCCTCTTCTGCCAGTCCTTCCTGCCCTTGTCTCTAAGCATTTGACTTCACCTTCACTTTCCTAAGAACATGGAATTATTGGGTTAAATAACCCTTAGTTATTTCGGGCTGATCAGGCCTGCAATCTCCTAAGGGAGTGGATGGCGAAAGCTTAAATAAACGAGACAATGGCAATGATTTCAGGGCTCCAGGAGGGACTAACTCTCTTACTGCTTCCATATTCTCTGAGTTTAGCCAAAGGCTTCTCTGGGTGGCGCATATTTATTTGGTTTACAAAGGAGGAGGATACTCAAGAAAAGCGGAGAATCTGGGCAGGACTTTTCCAAGTAATACATTATGTTAGTTTAGGAGAACTATGTTATCTGCAGGAAGGCCTTCACAGCAGGAGTGAGATGCCTGCAGCTGCAGTCTCCTTGTAGTTAATTGGGGTTGGAGCCAGACGTCCTCAGCTGCGGCCTTATCTTGTCTTTAGAGGCCTCACAGCTTCACAAGCCAATACAGGCCTCAGCAGTGACCAGTGACTCATAGAGGTTCATTTACCATGAATCAACTGCCCATCTGCAGACAAGGTGCCTAAGCTTCGGACAGCTCACAAGTAAACGTGAAGCCAGTTGGTTAATATTAAATCCTGCTCAGAGCCACTTTGCAGTGGTCTCCAACAGGAATCACTTAGAAACACCAGCACCAGCAAATCCACCCCCCGACCCCAGGCTCGCCCTCATTCGGTCTTCCCTCCTGCCCCGAAGGAAGAAGCCCTGCCCTTGGATTCTGCACCACACATACCCTCCTAGTGGAAAGTCAGAGAACCCCAGGTGCCCATGCGCCACGCTGGAGTGGTCAGCGGTCCTCGCTGCAGCTGTTCAAGGGGACGCATGGGGGAATTTCACTGCAGCTTTCACTTGTAGTTTCCTAAGGACCGTGTATCTTTCCGTGCACATTTGAGTTGTCCTGTGTCTTCCCTGGTGAAGTGTCTGTTCAAATATTTTTCACATTTTAAAAATGAGGATTTTCCTCACCTGTGACTTATAGTTTACATCTCTGAGTAGTTTCTTTCGAAGAGCAGAGGCTTTTAAGTTAATCATTATCTCTTTAGAAATCATGCTTTTGGTATTGTATCTAAAAGCTCTTTAATCGAAGGTCACAAAGATTTCCTTCTATGCGTTAGGATTTGATTTATAGTTTTGACTTTTAGGTGCGTGATCCATTTGTTTCATTTCTTTTAATAGAATATAAGATATCAACAAAGGTTTAAATTTTTTTTTTACATATAGACACCCAATTTTTCCAGCATTGTTCTTTGTAAAAATTGCTCTTTCTGCCTGGCGTGGAGGTGCACGCCTGTAATCCCAGCACTTGGGAGGCTGAGACAGGAGAATCGCCATGAGTTTGAGACCAGGCTGAACTCCATAGTAGGTTCAAGGTCAGCCTGGACTATAAAGACCCTGTCTCAACAGAAAACAAACAAAAAATTGAGTGTTCACTTCTCAGTGAATCTCATTTGCACTTTCGCTGAAATCAGTTGACTAAATCAATGGACTAAAAAGGTCGACCTTCAGACTCTACTTGGTTTCTTTGTCAGTGAAAACATTAGGTAATTGTGAGAGGCATCCAAACCTTTCACTACCTACCAGCTTGTTCCAAGAAGTGAGCTGATGCAATCTGAAGTAAGTATTTATTCTGGGACCACAAAGAATTAAAATACATGTGTCCCTCACCTTAGTCTCATTCCCGGAGTGACTGATGCCCTGAACTCAGTGATCCAGCCTACATGCTATGCCACTGAAGAAGGGCAGAAATCACTGCACAGTGTTTTGGCCACTGCATGCCACCCTCCTTCTACCTGTCTTCAGTCTGTCCTGCAATAAAAATTCTCCTGTGAGTTAGATTATTTTAGAAAACATATGTCGACTTTTCTGTGCCGTTGGGCCGAATATTCCAAGTTTGAAAATAAGCAGGAGGCCCACCCCGTGACCCTGTCTCTGCCCTCTTCTTGGGTCCTCATGAAGAAGATGTTCGGGGTTCAGAGGTGCACTGCTGGGAAGGGCTTGGAGTGCCGGTGGGGGAGAGGTCTGCGATGGCCCTCCCCGGCCAGCCGCTGCCTGTCCCTTAGTGCTGTGTGTTTATCAGCACCTGAGAAGCCTGTGAGTAGACTGATGCAAGTGTTCTTGACTGCGCAGAGGCCGGCGTGGAAGCCCTTTCTCAGCTGTCTCAGCTCACGGGCACGCTCTTTACCGCCCCCGCGGGGATCGCCACCGGCTCCTACCAACACAGTAAGTGTGCACCAGCTGCCCCGAGCCCAGGGCCCTGAGAACCGAGGACCGGAGTCGTACTGTATGGCCAGTGTTGGTGGCCGCCTTCTCGGGGAATGCCAGCGCTTCCCAAACTGCGCCGTTTCATACACTGGGGTGCTTGCTTGAAGAGGCTTACTTTTTGCAAATATTTTGCTTCAAACCATCGCTTAGAACAACTCTGTTGAAAACGTCATCTTTAAGAGGCAAGCAAAGATGTAGGCTGCTGATGCGGAGAGATAATACACACACAGAGAAGCTGCCCCTGGCCAAACCTAGTCACTGCGGTTTATTTGGGAAAGTGAATGGCAGTGCAAGGAGCGGGAGGGAGGTCCTGCCTACAACCCATTGGGTAGCATTACCAGAAGAGAAACGAGAGGGGATTCCCCCGAGAGTAAGCACTCACTGAACTACAAAAACGGCAAATACTGGATCAAAATGTAACATCCTGAGCCACAAGGAAACCGTCCTGCTCTGCTACGGTAACAAGAATCATTTTCTTTTTAAAATTTGTTTGCTTCCTGTCAAACAGGGAATGGGCCGATGGAGAAATGCTGTAAAGCATTGCCTCTCTTTCCCAAATGCTAAGGCCCTTTCGAGACTGGGGAGGTGGGGTGAGAGTCAGACTTTGGAGGGAAGACAGTCCATGTAAATATGACACAGAGCACGCTGGCTTCATGCAGTGTTGAAGCCAAAGTCACTGGGGACAGTTACTGCATAAATAGCACGTCCCCAGGCTAGCACAGGGCCTGCGGAGAGGGGTCGGCCTCGGGGCCTGCGGGGCGGCCTGGGCACTGTTGTTCGCAGCGTGGACGGGTTCTCTTCTCCTTCTCCTCCTCGGCTTCCCCGTCTTCCTCTTCCTCCCCCTTTCCCTTTCTTCCCATTTGCACTCTGTAAGACTGTCCACGCCGCTGTCGATGACAGTCAGGGGAAGCGAAGCAGACACGACCTCCGTCCGTGCTCCTCGTGGAGAGACGGGAGCGCGAGTGGAATCTTCCTTGTGCCTTCGTACTTGTTGGGTGGGAAGAAACTGCTCTCTGTTCTTACTCAGATCAGGACTCTGCTTCCCAAGGCGCAGGGCGGCAGTGCTTTATTTTCTAATTTCAAGCGGAATGTGTCCACCTTGTCTGTTAAAGGACAGGCATTGGAAGGGATTCGTGGTGTCCTCTGTGAGTTTCTTGTGTCCCTCTGTTGTGGCTGTTTCATCTTAGTCTTCAAATGAGAAAGGCTGAGAAACCCAGCAGGAATACAGTTGAGTTGTGGTTGTGCTTTAAACAAAGAGTAGACTTCTTTCATCTGAGTTCAAGCCGCTGATGATAAAAGGAAAAAAATCCTGTCAGTTCTCAGTGAGTGGCTGGGACCGCCGGGAGTCGGGGATCCGCCTTCTGTGTACTTCAGCGAACCCAAGCTGCAGACCTGGGCCCGCTGGGCTGAGCTCCTGGAAGACGCCCTGAAGCCAGTGAGGAAGCAGCTCGGTCCGCTGCTGAAGGAACTGCAGACGGGCATCAGCGCCAGGATGGTTGGTAAGAACGCTGGCTACTTCTGCTGCACGTTAGTTACGAAGTTTATTCTCTCTTCTTTTTTTTTTTTTTTTTTGTTTTTCGTTTTTCTTCCGGGACGGGGAATCGAACTCACGATCTTGAGTCGCTTTGCCACTGAGCTAAATCCCCAGCCCCTATTCCCTCTTCTTAAAATGATTTTATTTTATTTTGTTGTACCGGCATCTGAACCCAGGACCTTTGCCCCGAGTCGCACCCCCAGCCCTTTTTAAAAAACATTTGAGACTGGGTCTTACTATGGCACTAACTTGTCTAGACTGGGCTTGAACTTGTGATCCTCCTGCTTCAGCCTCCCAGGGCACTGAGATTACAATCGTGTTGCAGTCGAAGTTTTTTCCTATCCAGAGAAAATAGAAGATTAGGATTAGCACAAGTAAAATTTAACTGTTGAATATTTTCAGTGAAATTTTTAAAAATGTATTTATTTGTGTTTTAACTTTTAAGATTTTATTGGTACATTTTAGTGATCACATTCATCGCAGGGAATGTGTACCCGTACAGGACATAACTTGTTTTTTTCCTGTTCCCCTACCCTCCCTTCAACCCTTCCTTGCCTCCCCATTTACAAAAGTTTTGTTTCCATTTTTTCCTTCTTCTCTCATTTTTTTTTTACTTTTCCCTCCTTTCCTTTTATTTCAGTAAAATTTTATCCCCTTTTTCTCATTTTTTTCAAATACTTGTATAGTGAATGCCCACCGAGAACAAATATATTCGCGATCACAATGCTGACACTGATTCCAGTTTTATAATTATCTTAACTCCTATGTTGGCCGGCTTGGCCTAGGCGGAGTTCGGTGTTTGCTGAGCCAGAGATCTGAGTCTTTTTGTCCATTGCGATTTGCTCTAAAAGTTAGGTGCCGGCATCGCAGTTCAGCCCTTCTTCCCACGATGGAATTGTCACAGTAGATTTGGGGGACAACGTAACGTCTCACCTTTGAATCTTCTGCATTAGCTCGTTTTTAAGAAGTATTTGTTCAGCATCAGGGCAAACAGCTTGATCTTCCCTGTCTATCGCTCCTAGTGCTTTCCATCTGACTAAGACACCTGTCACCCATCCTCAAAGATCTAGTCCTCTTCCCTCCCCTTCCCCTGCCCTGCTTTTTGCTAAGTGTCTGTTTACTTAGTTCCTGTCTACACAGGAGCAGTAACACACACAGCGGTCTTAAGCATCAGTAAATGTCCTGCATCTCTTTCCATGAAGCCTCTGACATAAGAATTTGTCCTCTAATTTTCAAGTACCGCCTCCTCTACCACATTTAGGAGGTGTTCTCCCAATATTTTTGAAATAATTATGAAGCGATAAACAGGGAGACATTATTTCTCTTGATGCTTTCATAGATATTGAAGACTAGTCCAAAAAGAAGAAAAGTTGACTTTCTAAAGATGGAAATTACAGTTGCTTTTAATTTTTTTAAACACATTTGTAGCACATAATGATTATATTCAGCATGGAGAGTTGGTACATGTATAAAACACATCTTAATTCTTTTTACTTCCCCTTTCCTCTCTTCCCTTGAAGATGGAAGGTTGTTTTTATTTGTTTGGGTTTTTTTTTTTTTTTTTTTTGAGGCAGGGTCTCAGGGTCTCAGCCTCAAGGTCAGGCTGGCCTTGAACTCACTATGTAGCCCAATCTGATCTCAAACTCATTGTGATCCTCCTGCCTCAGCCTTCTCAGTGCTGGGATTACAGATGTGTGCCACCACTCCTGGCAAAGATGGAAAGTTTTTTTATGATATATTTAGGCAATGAGAAGTCAGTGGCAAAAATTAATTTTCAAATAGAAGTATGTCATTCAAAACATAAAAAATTTAAGAGGTGTCTGTCTATCTGTTACTTCCCAAGGACTTAAAATATTTATATTTTGGGCACAAAGGTAAAAGAAATTGAGAAACAAATCTTGGCAGGAATGAGAATATAACACTTAAATTTATAAGGTTCTCTTTTGATGTGTTCTCTTCTTCTTGTTCAATTTACAGATTTGGTTCAAGATCAGCTTTGCCAGGGTGGGTACACTGTATGTGCCCAGCACTTAAATCCCTTTGGCTCATTTTGTATTTTATCATAGTAGGACTATGACAGGTTCACTTTCTTTCCCAAAAGATAATGGAAAATAAACTTAGGGCATGATAAAGACTTCATGACATAATAAAAATTTCACTCCCATTCTTTGCAATTTTTTGTCCACTAAACTAGGAGGACTGAGCTATTTTGCTTTCGATCACATGTGTTATATAAATTAATTGCAGGGCCTGTGGCCATATATTTCCAGGGCAAATCATGTTTGACTCCATGAGCATGGCCGACGTTCTGAGTAACCACGATACTGCACAAGCTCTGGCAGATGGACTGGCAGAGCTGTCAAAAGAACATTCTGTAAGTGTCTCATTGAAGAAGGCACACCAGAAATATCTCGACTCTGAAATACATTCTTAGTTTGGGTTTATCATTTCTTCTTACTACCAGTTTATCTGAGGGCTCAATTCCTTAGAGAAATTGCATCCATTTGTAAAAACAGCCCCTGAGAGATTGTGGGTCCTAGAAAATCAGGAAAATCTTCAGGACTGTTCACAGTTTTTTACATTTGCGCCATTTCCTGTCTTGTGCTGAATGTTGATCAGAAGTGACTTCTTTAAAAAACATGCCTATGGTTTCATATTTCATATACATATTGTTCCACCGTGAGAGCAGCAGGGATTATGAGGGAAAAACTAAAACGTGTGAAACCAGATATAAAAAGATGAAGGGCCAAGGGGCCCCGGAGGAGAGAGGATGAGAAAGAAAGCGCAAAAGGACAGAAATAAGCAAACAGACAGTTTGGGAACAGAGGTGGGGGAGCCGAAAGAGACATTACTGTTAGAAGCAAATCTTGGCTATTCTCCCTGAAAAGCCAGGCCGTGCTGCAGAAGACCCTCACTGTCCCCGCCGGGACCAGAGAGGGTGGGGCCCTCCGCTTGCTGTTTGGGGAGTGGGCAGTCTCCTGGCTGAATGAGGTCTTTGCTTTCAGGAAAGACTCTCACCACCTCCACCCACCACGCAGGACCATCGCAGGTGGGCTCCCTTCGCCCTGTCCCCTTCTCCCTATCGCTCTGCCTTCCCCTGGCCTCCTGGGTCGGCTCAGCTGCGAGGGACGCAGCTCAGCAGGGCTCTGCCCCAAGCATGGCAGCCCGTGAAGCCCTGGAGAGCGCTGGGGATGAAATGAGTGCGGGTGTGCACAGGGTCGACCCTGAGGCCTAAAAGCACCACAGTCTGGCTCAACCTATTTGGTGTAGGAAGATCAAGGCCTGATGGAGTTTTGACTCAAACCCAAGAGGGAAGCAAATCGGAGCCTCGGGTGACTCTAGCAATTCCACACAGGGTCCCTCACCCAGGGCCCGGAGCCGGCAGGAGCCCTGCTGTCCCACTTCCTCCCCAGGCCAGGGGATTCTTCCGGGCACCTTGGGTCTGAAGATCTAGGCGGCCCTCCCACAGACCTTGGTGTCCTAAGTGGATTGTGACAAGCTGAGAGCCTGGAGCTTCCGTGGTGACTAGAATATGGGGTTCACTGGAGAATTCCCTTGGCTGAGGAGTAGTAATTACATTGCTTTCTGAACATATAAGTTAGTTAGGCAGAAAGTGGGAAATGTTCCAGAAATGTATTTTCTTTCCTGCTGTTCCTTTGGTGACCTGAATTCCAGATGAATGTTTTAAATAGTTTTTTTTTGGGGGGGGGGGATGCATTTTTCAGGACAAACCCCTGGAGTTCTTGTCAAATTTTCTGCTGAAGACAAGTAAAAAGAGTAAAGACTGGGAAGGGAGTGTTCCTCTGACAACATGTGACTCTGAAGAGACACTCGGTTCATTCAGGAAGGTGAGGCTATGTCTATGCCATTGCTTTGCTTCACTGTGTAGTGGGCACACGGGTGCAGAAATTGGTAACTCATGATGCCAGCTTCTCCTGGAAAGTGCTCAACATGGTATTTCTCCTAAGAACTTCGTTTTCAGGGACTATGATTAATAAAGGTGTTTTGTGGTACCATGAGGAACATTTATGCCATTTCAGAGCATAAACTGTACCACAGTGACCTGAATAAGTTAGTTTTGAGGAAGAGTTGAAAATTCATACTATGGGTCAAGGCTTGCCACTTCTCAGCTGAGTTCTGTGATAATTTGACTTTTTAAAAAGTTTGCAGTCTAGGACACCTTTCGTTCTTTCTTTCCCTCGCCCCACCCTTCCTTTTTTCCTTCCTTTCTTTTCTCTTCCTTTCATTCTCACTCTCTCCTCTTTCATCTTCCTTCCTTTTTTCTGTTTGGTGAAACTAAGAATAGTTGTTTTCTTTTCCCCTTAAGTGACATTCAAATTTATCAAAGGAAAAAAAGTAGTGCTGAAGCTAGTGCTCCAGGCAGAAAGGAATCTTGCTAGTACCATACTCAGCAGCCATGCATTCTGGGGTTACATGAAGTAATCAAGATTCAGGAAACACTGAACACTGCACTGTCATTCACAGAGCTGATTTCTACATAGGGCGAAAAGTCCCTCAGAACCAGCTTATGCTCATAGAAAACTTGCCTATCTTGATGTCCTAAGGCTTGGGATACCTCGTGCCCCTGACGCAAACTCGCCATTTAGACTGTTTTACTACAGCAGGCTTGTGAGTGCCCGAGCAGGCGCATCACCTGTTACCCTCTCTGCCTGGTAATCCAGAAGGACTTGTTAGTGCTGCACTGGAGACAGCAGGATGAGGCAGACAAGGAGGACACGGGCCTGGTGTCCGCAGTTGTTGGAAGCCTCCCTCCTCTTCAGTCTTCCCAACACCAAGCGTCTCCCTGAAAGGAGTCTTCAGAAACACACGCAGGGCCTCGAAGGCCTTTGTAGGCTGGAGCCTTGCTTCTGGTGGCCACTCTCCTAAGTCTGTCTTTTCAGGAAACTCTCAAGCAGATGGGGACCCCCATCTTCTCAGCTCAACTCCCCAAGGTATACAGGAGCTAACCACAGGCAAGGGCCTGTGCTGGGCCCCAAGAATAGATAGCTAAGTAGGACACAGTCCCTGCCTGTGGCTGGTGGAGACCCATGCACAGAAGACGATGTGGTGTGATATACGCTGAGTGACAACGCACAAGCTAGGTGGGGACATTGACACCAGCGTTTCATCCAGATTTCTTTTCCTGCCTCTCAGAGGCTACTTCTTTTGCTATGTCATGGTAGCCACCATCTCTGAGGTTCTGGGGACTTTTTCTCCACAGAGGGTAGGTGTTGTCTCCACCCATCCTTCTGCCTTTACAGAAGGGCACCCAGGCCTCTACTTGTGCTCCTTCTCCCTCGGTTCATAAACAAGAATGCGCCACATGCAAGCACCCCACGTGTTCCAGCCTCTTCCTAATCCTGACCATATCCAGGGGATCCAGCCTCTTCCCAATCCTGACCATGTCCAGGGGATCCCGACTCCGGGGAATGTCACTGGAGCCTTTTGAGCCACTCCCATCCCTAAGGGGGAAGCTGCCCCTCAAGCCTTCAACTCAGCATCAACCCCAATGCACGCTTCAGTGAAGCAGAACCTTGAAGAAGGCAATAGGGACAATGTGTTTTCTCTTCTGAGTGGCTCCTCTCACATTTTAAAGACCTAATTACTGGGGAGAACCATTTTCCAAATCTCTGACAGCTAAAGGAATGGTCACCAGGAGCACCCTGTCTTCATTCTTGGTTTTTTCTTCCTTCTTTCCTCCCTTCCTTCCTTCATTCCTTCCTTTGTTCCTTCCTTCCTTCCTTTCTTTTTTATTTCTTTCTCTTTTTTTCTCCCCCTCCCCCTTCTCTCTCAACAGGGTCTGGCTATGTAGTTGGCCTTGAATTTGAAGTGATCCTCTTGCCTCAGCCTCTTGAATTCAAGGTTAGGATTAAAAGCGTACACCACCCCACCCAGCTTTCTTTGACTTTCTTAGATTTCTTCTGCCAAATAAAATCCACACTGAAATCTAGTCTTGCCAAAATGCTATGGATTTAAACATCTAATCTTGTTAATAAAAGCAGCCATGAAGGTTGGGTTTAGAGTTGTTTCACTTTTGGAAATCAGCCTGTTGCTGTTACATCACCTGCCTGGAATAAAACTACAGAAATGTGTGACACCCTTACACCTAGCAGCTTCTTTGGTATTTTTTTTTAAAAAAGAAATCGCATTAGAAATAATATGTGATAGATTTTTATTTGGTTTTTATTATTGAATACTCACCCCACAAAAAAATCTGGGGTCTCTTTAGAGGAAGAACCACAGATTAAACATAGGTATTGAATTGGAACAAAATAGAGGCCAGGTGTGATGGTGCATGCCTGTACTCCCAGCACTCTGGAGGCTGAGGCAAGAGGATGGCTGTTAGTTTGAAGCCAATCTGGGCTACAAAGTGAGTTCAAGGCCAGCCTGAACTGCATAGCAGCACCCTGTCTCAAAAAGACAAAGAAGAATAAAATAGAACAAAATAGAGTAGTTGACTTTCTCTACACCTTGAGGTTTATTTTTAAAACTGGATATTTGCTCAGAAGAGAACATAAACCCACAGCCATGGGAGTGGAAATAATAATTTCTCTGAGATGACTGTTCTTAAGATCTTCCCCTAGGACCTTGTGTATCACATCCACAAATATAAGAGAATATATATATATAAAATCTCGGTCATCTATCACCTTGCTGCTTGCAGGGTTTTCTGTGCCTGTAGTGTCCACCCTGACACTGTGAACCCACGGTGAGGGGGTCACAGCCAGGATCATCACCACTTCTGAGCTCTTCCAGTCATCTCGTTTTCACAACCACTTCTGCCTCTGAGCCAGGCAGCACAGTATCTTCTAGGAAAAACGTCAGCCAAGGCCTGAGTGACTCTAGAGAATGCAGTGTCTGTCTGTTCTCCACCCTACAGGAGGACAGTTCCTACCTTGTGACCAAAGCGCAGCCCTGTGAGCTTGTTTCTTATACATCCTGGAGATGAGGAGGGCAGAAGTCCATAAATCCCAAATAATTACTTTCTTTTAAATTTGCAGTGTGTGGCCCCTGTTACTGCTTCTGAATTCATCCCTAAAAACAAAATAATAGTGTGGCACCTTAATATAAAAATCCTAACAATTGTCAACAATGTATAATATAGAAAGAGAGAAGTCTGCATTTTTTTAGATCCCAGTATAATTACTATGCCAAATCAATTTCCTATCCCCAAGGAAGAATTTATGTTTTAAAAAGTAGCTGCCACTGACTCAGAAATGAAGCACGCAGTTTTGTGGTGAGGGAGGGGCCAGCGCCTGAATTTTGATGTGCAGATGCCGAGGTGGGAACGTGTAGTAGGTTATGTGTCCGCGTTCCATTACTGGGAGACCAAGTATCTGAGAAAATAGACTTAAAGGAGGAAAGGGTCACTTTGGCTCATGGTTTCGGCAGGTTCCGTCCTTGATCACGTGGCTTGGCTGCGTTAGAGCCCTCGGTGAGGAGAAGAAGCTGCTTACCTCCTCCAGGCCAGGAAGCAAAGGGAGAAAGAGAACAGGGTCTGCAACCCCTTCAAGGCAGGCCACGCCCCCATGACTTCACTTCCTGCTGTAAGCCCCACCTGCTAAAGATTCCACTGCCTCCCAGCTGGGCCACAGCCTGGTGACCTGTTTCTTTCTTTTTCTTTTAAAGAATAAAATAAGGATAACATAGTAATACTGGGGGCTTACTGAATTACAGACAAAGTGGTAGGAAGTTATCAATGGTTGTTGTTTTACATATTGGTATCTTCAAGAAAGTTTCTCAGGAAAACAAATAGACAAATAATAGTGAGTTACAGACAAAAGTGGTAGGAAATTATCAATGGT